GTGTCTGTGTGTGTGTGTGTGTGTGTGTCTGTGTGTGTGTGTGTCTGTGTGTCTGTGTGTGTGTGTGTGTGTGTGCGTACCCAGCTGACACATTACCTCTCACCAGTGCCTTTTTGGAGACTCGCATCTGGGACCTATTTGGGAGGTTCCCACTTCCCGGTGAGGAGTCCAACCCACAAAACCTGGTGACCTTGGATTTTGGGGGGGGGGTTTCCCCTCCCTGACCAGTGCCAGGGCCCCCAGAATCTCAGCTCTTACTCATGTATGATGAGGAATGAAAATGGCTCAAGAAGGGGTGAAATCGACAATCCCCCCCCCCCCCGGCACTTCAGCCCACTCGTTAATGAGCTGATCCAATCACAACCAGATTTGAGTATGTTTGCTTTCTTTACTGCCCCTGGGGAATTTCATGTGTATTTGTTTTTCTTTAAGAGACACTACATAGCACACTCATGTACATTTGGTTCATATTGTATGTTTCAGTCATTAGCCCTTAATTTTGAATGATTTAATTATTATAGTTGTTGTCCATTTTTAATTTGTTTTCTGTTTTGCTATAATCGTTTTGTGAGAAGCTGTTTGTGATCGGGGTGGGGGTGGGGTTAAGGACTTGGCCTGGGCTTATAAATACCCTAATTAACCCTCATGGGGCGTTTTCGAGTGGAGTTTTCACTCGGGCTTTTTATGGGCACTTAGCGGAGTAGTGTATTCTTGGAGGGTAGCAGAAGATTGCCTGGTCCTGCGGGGGTCCGTTAGGAGGTGTACCTTCCAGGGCTGGCAGCTGATGGTGCCCATGGCAGCCTGGTGCTGATGCTGGTGGGGGGGATGGGGAGGGGGGAACAGCATCTCCAATTGTTGATGTTCCCTCACCACTGCTAATGATGTTCTTCACTGGTGAGCCACACAAATGGCCATGTCACTGTTAATGACGCCCCCTACAGGGCAGCAAAGCACAAAACACAAAGGGCTGATTATAAGTGGTTCATTGTGCAGCTCAGCCTGTGATCTGGGAGGGGTGACATGCTAAAGTCTCATGGGATTGCAGGCCCTGTGTGTGTGTTTGTGTATATGTCTGTGTCTGTTTGTGTGTGTTTGTATGTACTGCCAGACTCTCACTTGTCCCTCATTGGCTGGCTCCACTCTAACCAAGGCCCCCTCCTTGCCCTCATCTCCCCCAGCTGATCACCCCCCACGCTATCCGCGTGCAGACCCCGCCCCGGCACATCCCCGGCGTGGTGGAGGTCACTCTCTCCTACAAGTCCAAACAGTTTTGCAAAGGCACCCCCGGGAGGTTCATCTACACAGGTAGGCGGGGTCCGCCAGGGGCGGGGGGGGGGCTATCCGCAGTATGTTTTCCCAGCTTACACTTTCGACGGGTTGTGTTCTCCAGCCTATATTAAGAAGACAGCTAAGTGTATCTCAGAGCTCCAAACATACAGAGAGTGTAAAATGGAAAATTCCAGCAGCCTTGCGGGGTCTGTGTCATTCCCGATTCCTGACGGCTGGGGGAAGCCTCCGGCAGCCTTGCGGGGTCTGTGTCATTCCCGATTCCTGACGGCTGGGGGAAGCCTCCGGCAGCCTTGCGGGGTCTGTGTCATTCCCGATTCCTGACGGCTGGGGGAAGCCTCCGGCAGCCTTGCGGGGTCTGTGTCATTCCCGATTCCTGACGG